CGAGAGTGCGATTTGCCGGCTGCCCGCGCAACCCTCTGCGGAGATCGTGCGTGTCGAGTGCGCGAAATGCAGGCGAGAGTGCGATTTGCCGGCTGCCCGCGCAACCCTCTGCGGAGATCGCGCGTGTCGAGTGCGCGAAATGCAGACGAGAGTGCGATTTGCCGGCTGCCCGCGCAACCCTCTGCGGAGATCGTGCGTGTCGAGTGCGCGAAACGCAGGCGAGAGTGCGATTTGGTACACAACTCTAGTACGCAGAGTAGCTGGGGAGCTGGAAGCTGAGAACTGGCGACGTGGTAGTGCGAGAGTAGTACGCGGAGTAGCTGGGGAGCGGGAAGATGAGAACTGGCGAGTGGGTAGTACAACTTGAGGGCGTGGAGTATCTGGGGAGCTGGGAGATGAGCACTGGCGACTTTGTAGTACAACTGTAGTACGCGGAGTAGCTGGGGAGCTGGAAGCTGAGAACTGGTGACTTTGTAGTGCAACTTTAGTACGCGGAGCAATCTGTGGAGCTGGAAGCTGAGAACTGGCGACTGCGTAGTACAACTTTAGTGCGCGGAGTAGCTGTGGAGCTGGAAGATGAGAAGTGGCGACTTGGTAATACAACTTTAGTACGCAGAGTAGCTGGGGAGTGGGAAGATGAGAACTGATGAGTGGGTAGTAGCTGAGAACTCGCGACTTTGTAGTACAACTTTAGTACGAGGAGTAGCTGGGGAGCTGGAAGATGAGAACTGGCGACTTGGTAGTACAAATTTAGTACGCAGAGCAGCCGGGGAGGGGGGAGATGAGAACTGGCGACTTGGCAGTGCAACTTTAGTACGCAGAGTAGCTTGGGAGTGGGAAGATGAGAACTGCTTAGATGGGCTGTGGTTTTATAACTAGTTATGTTGTTATCTTACATTTAGTAACTATGTGGTAACTGTATACTAACAAGGTCTTAACTGTACTCTAACACATTATATTTTGCTTAACTTGTTAACATAATTGCTAATTTTCTATAAAAGTTACATAACTAACATAATTAGGTTAATTAAGTTAAAAAGTTAGCAAAATTATAACTAGTTAGCCTAGAAGACCACATCAAACCTAAACAACATTTTTACTAGCAAGCAAGCAACATTTTTTAGCCTATAAGCAAACATTTTTTGGTAGATGTGTTGGTTCCTTGTCTTGTGCATTGTGCCTTTTGAAATAAAAATTCAAGATTTTGTCGACAAGTTTTCATTCAGAACAATATAGTGGCTTGACACCCAGTGTCCATTAGCTGCATGGCTTACCATGTACAATAGCTGCGTGGCTAACCAAATCCTCTAGTTGCATGTCAATTAGCCGCATGGCTGGCCATGTCAATTAGCTGCATAGCTAGCCATGTCCAGTAGCTGCATGGCTGATTGGAAATAGAGCTCACAGGGTTAGTTTGAAGTGGTAAGGTTTCTTGACAAGTCATTGTGACTGTGGCATTTTTACAGCTGTCTCTACATTCAGCCATGGAAGCTGCTGGTGTTGAGATCTCACATACTGTGAGCTTGAAGTACAATGGGAAGAAGCAATCGATCCCAGATAGCTTGATTGTTCAGGATGGTCTGGGCCATGAGTTCTTGAAGGTTGCAGCCACCAATCAAGTGATCTTGAGGCTGATCTGTGGCAATTGCCAAAAGAATGCATCGCTTGCTGGTGGCCAGGGAATTACAGACCTCAAGCAGCAGAGGAACCAGAAAGCTGGTCTTGCTGCAAGTGATGGACCAGATGAAGAGTGGCTTGATGAATGTCCAGATTCTCCACATGGAGCCTCCAAGAAGAAGCAGAAGGTTGAGAAGGCGGCGACCTTGGACATCGGTGGTACACAGGTATCCATTCTGTGTCCAGCCAAAAGGCTGGCTGCTTCTGACTTGATGGTGAAGCTGGACACCGCTATGCTTTATGCAGTTTTTGAATTCCTCAAAGAGGATTGCCATGATGAGGGTCGGCCCACCAGGAAATACCAAAAGGCTGGGTTGCATAAGAAAGCTGGTGGCAAGGATTGTGATGAACCACCTGAGGAGTGACACTGAACATGGAACTTGCTAAAGGAAAACAGGTTCGAGCAGTGCTTCAAGCATATGTTTTGATGTCATTGGTCTTCAAATCACATTATCCTTGTGGATTTGTCACACTTGATTGTCAAAGCTGACTTCAAATCACATTAT